CTTGAAATTATACTACAAAGCTACTTGATAAAATCAGCATGATACTGGCAAAAAAGCAGACCCAAGGATCAATGGAACAGACTAGAAGATGCAGGAACAATCATAAACACACTCAGCTACCCTGTCTTTGACAAAGGGGCCAACATGTTCACTGGAACAAAGATAGCCTCTTCAATAAATGGTGCTGGAAAAACTGGCTTTCCACATGCCAAAGGCTAAAACTACACCCATGTCTATCACCATGCACTAAACTAAAGTCAAAATGGATCAAAGAACTAAATATTAAAACAAAAACATTAAACAAGTCTTAAACTCACTATGTCGTCCTGGCTGGCCTTATACTCACAATAACCCTCCTGCCTCAGCCTCCTAACTGCTGTGTACCACCACACTCAGCTCTCATAAGATTTTGATACTAAATAATGACCTAAATTTCAACTCACTGCCTAAACATCTACTTCCCTAAATTACCTTCTTACAGTCCATAGAGAAACCCCAGCACCACTCCTGGCCCCTTTCCCCATTTTTCTAGCATCTCTCACTTTCTAATTTATGATGTGATTTACTCAGCGTTTATTGTCTGTCTCCCCCACAGGAATGGGAAAATGAAGAGGAGTTCAGGGCATATTGTGGGTGTTCATTAAACAATTGTCTGAAGGCTGAAATTTGGAGCAGTGGCTCTGTTAATGCTCTCTGACCTGTAGTTGTGGGTTTTTTGCATGGGCTTTTGCACAGAAATGGTGGCTCTCTGGGGCCACTTACAGTTTAGGTTGTGCGTTGCACTCACAGTAAGTTCCTGATGTCCAGTTCCTGACTCTAAATACCAAGACCAATTCACCCCTTACTCAGCCAGGCCTCAGAGCACTGTATCCTTCCAGAACATTTGGGCCAAGGGACATGGAGAACATGATATCTAGGAATGCAAAGGAGAGCGCACACCCAACTGACCTGCTATCTGGATCACAAACTCTTTCTTCTGAAGCAGTAGGGGATTCTGGATGCAGCAGGACACGTTGCTGTGGGCTCTCCCTCGGACAACCACAGATGTCTCCAGGTGGAACAGACCCCGCACATCCTGGATGATGACTTCAGACTCTGGAGGCAGGCACCGTCCCTGCTGGTCCCTCCACTGAGCCTTGGGCTTTGGATACCACCCAGTGGAGCTACATCTCAGCTGAATGCCTCCTTCCTTGTAGCCCTCAAGGGAGATATGAGGGTCTGAGCCCAGCCCTAAGAGATGCAAAAAGAGTGAGAAAGAGCAGACTCCTTCCCAGAAGTTGGACATGAAGTCCACACCACTCTGTTTACCATTGCAGTCACTATAAGACATCAGGAACTGTGCCCACTTAATGCCTATGTGGGCTGATACCCCCTACCCATCAACTACAAATAACCGCCTAGCCTGCAGTAGCATGAGTTGACAGAACAGTACTATAGGACCTTTGGGGGATATTTGGAAGTTTGGGTGGAAGAAGGCGACTGGCATTTAGTTATATTATGCAAGGGACAGTTACTTGGAAAGAATTATCTCACCCTGAATTGAATAGGTTGTCCTCTTTTTCTTGATTCTCACTAGAGGTCAAATTCTTGCATTATATGACTTTCTTTGTCTCCCCCATGTAGGTCTGATGTAGTTATCTCATGTAGTTAACTCACTCACTCTCTGTCTGTCTATCTATCATCTATCTATCTGTCTATCTATCATCTATCTATCTGTCTATCTATCATCTATCTGTCTATCTATCATCTATCTTCCTACCATCTATTTATCATCTATTTATCTATCCATCTATCTATTCTTTTGTAGGGCTAGGGATTGAACCTAGGCTCTTGCACATGCTAGTCAAGTGCTCTACCACTGAGCCACACACTCAGCCATATGTTTTGAATATGGAAAACATTAATATTGTCTAAATGTCTACCCTGAGCCAAATGTGGTGGCACATGCCTGTAATATAAGCATTCTGGGAGGCTGAGGCAGGAGGATCCCAAGACCAAGCTCAGCCAGGACAACTTAGGGATTTAACAACCCTTTGTCTCAGAAAATAAAAAAAAAAAAATTAATGTGAAGACCTTAGGTTCAATACAAAAAAAAAAAAAGTTAGTGCTGTATACAATGTACATCCCTAGCCTTTCTGTCCCTTTTTAGTCTGTCCCCTCCTCAAGTCACCAATTTCATGAGTTTCTAATATATTCTCATTTGCTTTTTGCAATGTTCTTCTTTCTTTCCTGCATGCAAATATATAACACATTAACAAATCTCTTTTGCATCTTGATTTTTTTTCTCTTAGTAATATACCCTAGGAATCACTCCATAGCTGTCATTGAACTGTCATTTTCACTTTTCCAGCTACAGAGTATGGATCGATCATGTGAGCAAGAGGCTTTGTCTTTTCTGTCAAAACACAAGGCCAATTCAACTCCTTTTGGGGTTTAAATGATTTGATCATCTACTCACTCCCCCTCCCCATTAATATCCTGAGCTTGAAGAAATGATGACTATCAACCTTTTCCCAGAACACACTGGTTTCCAAGATAAAGAACCAAGAACTCTTCATTCCAAACCATACCTTCCCTCTCTCTAATCACCCTCTGCCTCATGATAAGAACCAAAGACCTTTTACTCCAAGCCCCAAAACTTGCACTGCTCTTCATTAAACATGATAAGTTTTTGAATTCAGCCAATGAATTTAAAGGTTAGCTGCTTCTCCTCAATAGGGATAAGAGGAGCAACTCTCCTTTGTCCTGTGTGCTTGCTATCTCATGCTTGCTCCCTTCTGCAGAAGTAAAATGCCTTGTTGGGAATTCTTGATGTCTAAGTGCTTTATTATCTGCACCAACAATTTGAGTCTGGGGCTTATTTCCAACACTCCTTACGTGGCTGGACCATATTCAGCTTTTACACATGGACAATTTCCCCTGTTTTGCAATTAGAAGTAATGGTACACAGGTTAGACTGATAAATGAGCTACGGAGATATATCTTCAAGGTAAATCCTGGAGGTGGGATTGTTGTATCCAAGGAAGGTAGACAGAGAATTCTGTTAGCCCTCCAGCCTGCAGCTTCTTTACTTTGAACTCCACTAACCAAATAAGAGAAAGTCATTTTCCCAAGAGCTACCAAGACAGTGTCATGGAACTTTTAAATTCCCTCCAGTTTGAAAGGTAAAAATTTGCATTTTGATGTAGTTTAACTTGCCTTTCTGTAGCTATAAGTAATAATTATCATCTTCATGTTTAAGAGTCATAGCATTTTTTTTTGTGTGTGTGTGTAACTATCTCTCTTGTTCTTTTGCAGATGGATCAACCACTTTATTTTTCAACAGCTTTATTTAAAATGAGGGATATCTTCCAGGATTCTACATCTACTTGAAAAAAGCAGCTCTTAGGAAACTGACCTTTTCCTTGACCCTTCTGGCTCTTGGCCAGACATATACCTGCCACCTCCAGCTCCCAGATGGCTTCACCAGAGAAGTTGCTGGAGAGGAAACGACATCCATAAGGACCCTCATCAGAGGGTGCCACACCCTGGAGCTGCAGGATCACACTGCCAGTGGTAATCTCATCTGTGAGGAGTTTGGTCCTGTTCTGGAACTGCACCATCTGCCTTCCAAAGAGCTCCTGCCCATTCTGGTACAGATGTACCACATCTGAGGCCTGGCCCCGGAACCAAAGAATCTCCATGTGCTCCACATCCAGGTACTGTGACAAGTGGCACGGGAACTCCACCTCTTCCCCAATGCCGGCCATCATGGATTCCCCAGGGCCTATCACTTTGACAAAACCAGAACCACAGACATAATCAATCCATTTTCAAATATCATTTGAAGGTCATTTAACAGGTCAGAAACCTACAATAAACTGTTCAAATGATGAAGATAACACAACGTTCAAATGATGAAGATAACTACAAGGACATCTGGCCTGGTTTCTTGAAAAATGTAAGCACACAGGTTTAAACACACATGGGGGTGGGCCAGGGATATAGCTTAGTGGCACAGTGCCTGCCTGGCAAGCTTGAGGTCATGAATTCAATTTCTGGTACCAAAAAAAAAAAAATTGAAACACAATGGGATGTTACAGTCAGAGAAAAAGTGCAGTCTTAGACTGGTTATTGGTTTGAACCAACCAGGTTAAAGCGTTATTTTGTTGACAGTTATGGCCAGGGAAATAAATTACATGCAATCATTGACCAAAAAGACCAAATCTTAAAACTAAAATGTATACTATGCAATTGAGTAAAAAATTACATATTTCCATAGATGCCCTGAGAAAAAGATCTGAAAGGGAAGACACCAAATTGTTGATGGCAGAAATTTCTGCATGATGGGGATAGGTGTTTTCTTATTTTTGTTTCTTTGCTATTCTAATTTTTAAGGTACTACATAGGTATAAATTCTCTAAAAGCAATACACATACGTATAATGTATATATAATATAAAATAATGTATATTCTCCTTGCTTCATGGGTTTTCATAGTTAAAGGCCAACCAGATTCTGGTGATCATGATCTTTCATTTGATCATTCTTTCCTTCCCAGGGTGTCTCCATGTGGCCGTTCCAGTCTGTCCCACTAGTCTGTTTCATTCTTTGTAAGTTTAGTTAAAACCTCCTCCCACCTCTCAACAACCAGAGATCCCTTCATTTCATCTACAGAACATGAAGTTGTGTCTTTCTTTATTCTATTTGAGACAACATGTTGCCCACTAGGTAGATTCTCAACACCCTCTTATTATCTTCCCTTTTTGGATCTCTTCAGGTATCTTTCCCATATACCTGATGTCTGGCTCTCTCCCTGGATACACCCTGCTTCAGTTTATCCTCCATGTGCTTCCTGGAGTGTGCATCTTGCAAAGATTTGCATAGACATTACCTCCTCTCTATGCTTCTTGTTGGCTTTCCAGGAGAAGAGATTTGTTCTGAGCTGTGCTTAACTCCCAAAGTCTTTAGGCATGGTTTTCTTGCCACTATTTATGTCATAAGCATCCCCTTCCCTTGACTCTGAGCTGCTTGAAGCCCTGAAGAATACCTCAGTCACCCTGATGTCCCAATTGCAGCCTAATTACACACATTAGGGGATTCCATGTGTGTAATTAATTTACAACCTCTGTTGTCTGCTTTTCATGAGAGGTAGTATGCCAGGAGAGGTCTTTCTTGTCTTCCAGAGCTATGTAGTTAGTGGGGTTTAAACCAGCTGGCTCAGCACCAACACAAAGAAGAGTTTCCTGGTTCCCTCCTGTTATGAGTTCTGCTAAGCCTATGGACTTCAAGGCCCTGAGAAGTGTGCTAGGGCTGAAAAAATGATGGATGAGCAGAGACACTGCATAGGCTACAGCAGTGGCTCTTTAACCACTGGGATGGAAATCTTTGTGAAGTTTAGCACTTGGCAAGGCCCAGTGTGGTGTCATTGTATCTCAGCCTGTGGGGAATGAGTGGTACATGGTAGGAGGGATGCTCAGTCATGGCAGGTGGGGCTGCAGATGACTGAGATAAGACACTACCTGAGATCGCCTTTCCGGGTTGAAGAAAGAGTAGAACATGGGTGAAGATCAAGAGACTGCTGGGCAAAGGCACCCCCTTCAAAAATTCCAGGGCTACTAAGAAGTCTGCCATCTGTTATCAGTAGTGAAAGCCACCTGGAGAGAGACAAAGACATGGTGAATGACATAGGCCATCTGAACGCAGCCCATGGGGCCTTAATAAGCATTTCTGATTCTTGAATTCCTTACAACAGTTTCAGGATATGCCTCCTTTTATGCTGTGGCTGAATGTAGGCACTGCTTCTAATTTTACCATGCAACACTGTTAATAGTCTCTTTGGCCTTGCTCAAACTGATAAAGCTGCAGGTGGATGGAGCTGAAGGGTCCCACAGGAAAGAGCCTCTGAACTGCTTATTGTTTAGATCCAGGAATAGAGCCATACATTGTGTCAGGATTCAGCACCACCCACCTCTGGGGTGAGGGACATTCTCCAAACAAAAAGAAATCTCTGGATAATCTTTTTCTCACTATTGATGATCTAAACTTGCTCTCATTTCTCTTTGACCTAGAACATCATGTTCACAAGAAAGGAACAAACATAGAGTTCTGCTGCTTCCAAACTGGAGTGTATGCCTGGTGGCTGCCTGCTAATTCAACAATACTCTGGAACATTTTTATCCAGGCTTGAGGCCTCAGGTGTTGCTTCCAAGTGGGGGAGGGGAGCTGGCTACTTTCCTATGTTTGTAGCATACCCAATAATGGGGTCTTCCATTCTAGCCACCCATTCCCCATTCTGGACACCCAGTCCTAGCCCATGTAAGGGTTCTCTTCTTTAAGTCTAATGTCCCCTTGGGCCCTGTTGTAATATCTCACACCCTAGTGGCCAGCAAACATGGTATGGCCTACACATCTTTGGACTCACAGAAGACTCTCCATATTTCCCATTCATTTAAGTTGTGAGATTTTTTATTTTTGGTGTCGGGAATCAAATTCAGAGCCTGTACTTGCCAGACAGGCACTGTGTCACCGAGCTACATCTGCAGCCCCTTAAGTTGTGAGATATTAAGCAAGTTTCATAACTGGATAAACTTAAATCTCTTTGCTTACAGTGGAAGAAACCAATGTCAACTTGGAGGGTTGTTAAACCTTCCACAAGTTGGCTAGATGCTCTTTATTATTATTATTACTTTTTTTTTTTTTTGAGAGAGGGTCGAGGTTATGTAATCTAGGCTGGCCTTGAACTTGCTGTTGTAGCCCAGGCTAGTCTCAAACTCACAACAATGCTCCTACCTCAGCCTCCCAAGTTCTAGGACTACAGGTATGCATCATCTCATCCAGCAATGCTCTTTAAATAAATTATCATCTCCTTTTCTCTCCACCTTCCACATATCTGTTCTCCATCTTCCAGTGCACTTCTCTCTCCTTCATCTCATCACAGTGGTAGAAGGTCCACAGTGGGTTTCTATTCTCCACTCCCCCAGCTTCCTCTTCTGCTTCTGCAACTTTTTGCCTTCTGCTGCGCTTTCCTGCTGCAAATGCTTGGTGTGGTACACGTTCTTTTGTCCTGTGGCAGCAAAGCCCCAGGCTACTGTCAGCAATGTCACTGGCATGATGTGGATGAAAGAATTTAGAAACCACTGGGTCATGCAATAATACAACAATCAGAGGTGTGAGGGGGTACCTTAGAAGGGCTCTCTGAGTTGGGATGGACCCTGCCTAACAGAAATACAATAGGAGGGAGAGGTACTGGCCTGAGAGGTGAGTGGGCTGCCATGGAGATGAAACTTTGGGTGGAGGGAAGTAGAGGAGGAAGTTGAGGTGACTGCACTCCTACATCATATGGATTCCTCAAAGGGAAGAGGTCAGAGTCCTGTCTGGAAGGACCTGGCTATTTGACAGCTAGCAGTAATTGAAATTATTATTCACTCAATAACTAGTATCAGTGGAGGACTTGGGCAGGGGCAAGGCTCTGGTTGGACAGCCTGACCCCTTGCCCAGTGTGGCTGGTGGTGGGAATGTGTCTGTGATAGGTCTTGAACCTGGAAGGGAGGGAGCAGAACTATTCCTGGTTTTTGTGTTTTCTCCCCTTCCCCCCTTAGTCCCTCTTATGCTTTTTTGTCTGGACAGTAGACATAGAGTAGGGTTCCATAAGGGTAGAGCCATGAGGGGCACATCAGCATACAGCTAATGCCTTGCCAAGAAACAGGGGCTCCTACTCTGCATAGGGATGGATCCCTTTTAATGGGCTGGATCCTGAGGACAGAGGCAAGCTGGTGACTTTTGTTCTCCTACGAGAAGGTGATGGGGCATTACATACACTTCAGAGCTAAGGGCAAGGCAGCCCTGAGAACAAGCACTTGCTCTAATTACCTTAGTTAGGGAAGCTATAGATCCCAGGGAGTGAAGGGACTGGGGCTATGCGTTAAAGAATTGTGGACTAGCTAAGGGAATCCCAGTTCTTGGTTGCTATAAACCCATGGATTTTCCATCACAGAGGCTGTTGAGAGGAGACTGGAAATGCAGATGTGTACCCACACAGGTGCGAGTGTTACAGTAATGAAAACCGGCTACAACTGAGCACTTCTGGTCTACCAAGCATTTACACAATCACAAATATCATTACTATATTGCTAATAAATCCAAATTACAGATAAGGAAACAGGCACAAGGGCTGATGGCCTTGGCTCTGCACACACTGGTAGTGGGGTGGTAGAGTGGGGTTTAACCTGAGCTGTCTGCTTCCAGAGCCTTGCTCTGTGCTTTCAGTGCAGATTCTCACCAGCTGCTGCCACCTGAAACAACTGCCCTTTGTTAGCAACCTCCAAGCCACTGATTATAGGCATCTCACCACACATTACAAGAGTTGGGGTCCTCAGTGTCAGCCACCAAAACTACCCAACAGTCACCCAGTGAATATAAAGTTTAAAATCCCACTGTCAGATAAAACGGTTTAAGCCAGAGTCTTCCTAAGATTTTGTCAAAACATCTGCTTAGGTAGGAGGTAATTGTGCTGAGTCCCTTTGTTTAATGCTCAAGGTTGTGGCCTTGAAAGCCTTCAGGGTGAAGGAAAGTGGTCTGACAGCTTCCCGAAGGGAAATCAGTGTCTTTGGAGGGTCCCTAAACAGCACCCCATTTTGAAACAGCAGCCTCCTCCCTTTCCGACTTCACTCTGCAGAGTCAGGCTATGATCCTGACCAAAGTGCACACACTCCGCTATGTACCATGGCTGTAATTCATTTCAGATTCTCGCCCTGCTGAGAAGGTTTTCCTGAGGCAAGGAATAGAAGAAAGTGGACATGTTGGTTGATTGGGGAAGAGAGAACCCAGTGAAGGGAAAAATGGCCAGGAAAGGAACTCAGACTGAGCTAAGCTGTGCTGATGTGCTGTGCTTTCCTGGTTCTCTTAGGAGCCTTTGGGCTGCTCCAGGCTGGAGCTAAAAGGGATGAGGAGGGCTCCTGAGCACCAGGGCTGAGGAAACCCTGCCACCCTCCATCCAGGAATAGGGCAGTTCTCTCCTACCCTCTCTTGTCTTCTTTCTTCTCTACTTTCTCTTCTCACTCTCCTTGCCCCCAGCTCCCTTCCTACTTTCTCCTGGTCTCTAATTCCTAAACAACACACAATGTTCTCTTGACTTCTAGTCCCTCCCTTCTTGAGTCTCTTTGCATTTTGCTTTGCTTTTCTACTTTTGCAAACTGTGCAACTGATATATCTGGCCTCTCTTCTATTTTCAAGTTCTAAGCCAAAAGCCCCAGGGGTAGATGGGGCTTTAAACTGTACCCACTGTAATTCTTTGTCCCCAGCAACCTCTCATTATTGCCCACAAGTCTGTATTGATTTGATATCAACAGACCCATGAAAGGATTCCCACCTTATTGGTTTTTAAGGGAGATGAATCACCTCAAGAAGGTAGCCTTGACTGGTTGTGGTGGCATAACCAGGCTGAGGCAGGAGGATCACAAATTCAAGCCCAGAATGAGTAACTTAAAAATTTCAGACTTTGTCACAAAATAAATAAATAAATAAATACCTGGGTATATAGAGGCTTGGGTACAATTTGCAGTTCCATGAAGAAGAGGAAGAAGACAGAGACGGAGAAGGAGAAGGAGAAAGAGAAGAAGAAGAGGGGGGGATGGAAAAAATGGAAGGGCCTCATTTGAGAGGAAAATAGGACACCAGAGAAAACGCTTCATGGAGGGGGGCATCTCCCTAAGGGATCTCCTCTTAGCCACACTGAAAAACTTCCAATTATTTCCTGCTGTCCATTTCTGAAAGAGGGAGGCTTAGCCACAAGTTGAGAATCAGACACATACCTTTCAGGTACCATTAAAGGTTCCGAAAAGCAGATGAGTCCAGATGATTTCACCTCCTCTGCAAGGAATGGTAGTGATTGTTATGAAGTATCTTAGTTCTTGGTGCTAAGACTGTTAGACATGGACTGGCAGCTGAGTTCAGATGGATAGTTCATTTCTGACAGAATTATTCCCAACTTCCACTTTAAGACATATGCTGTTGGCTCTGCCCTTTGCTATAAACACCAAGATAGATAGAACAAAGCAAGGAAGTCCCCGTCACATCCTGTCCCTGTGAGGAAAATAAAAAATTAAATTAAATTCCCATGGAAAAAGTCACTCCAGGATCTCAGAAGGAGGGCAAAGTTATCTGACAGCTTTGCAGAGCACACTGGAAGCTGCAGAGGCTGAGAGTGGAGATAGTGCTCCAGCTAGCTGCCCAGGATCTCTGGACAGGTCAAGCTGGGGTTCTGGAGAGGTAGGGTGACCATCCCTCGCTAGCTCCTCTCCACTCATGATCACAGGAAAGGAGTCAGAGACTAAAGTGTAATCTTTGCTAAAGGATGAAACAATGTTCATGCCCACCTCATACTTAATGCGCTATACTCTTCTCTCTGCAGGAAAAAGTCAGTAAGGACATAGCCTGGGAACACTGCCATTAATAAACCTTCAAGAGTTGTCTCTACAATTTAGAAATCAAGTGAGTGCCACACTAGGATTTCTCTAGTGGAGCAGAGCTCAAAAAAAAAAGCAGTACTCCATCTCACCCAGATAGGCTACGCTGCAACTTTGGTACTGGTGTGAAAGATGTACAGTGGACCAAACTCCATCCCCATCTGCACACCACACTGATTTTGTCCCTAGGACACAAGTCAGACCTGTGGCACAGGGCAACTCAAGCATGTGCAGGATCCCCCACCCCCTGGAACTTCCAGAAACACCTCATATTTGGAGAGAATGTTATGCAGGTGCCAGGCATCTGAATAAGAAGGTGGAAGCAAGAGCCAGCCAGACCTGACGGTGACTGTGTGTATAAAGGCATGCTGGTGATGAAGGAATTTGGGCATCTGGCTGCACAAGAATGTCCTTAGGTCAGTGGAAGGGGCTGAACGTGTTACTGGCTATAGGAAATAAAGACAGAGACAAAAACTTGCAGCAATGACAGGGTTTATTTATGACAAATACCTGAGAGGGACTACTGGCTTTGAAATGCCTGGGAAGCACCTCTCTTAGGGAGGAAGGGGTTTAAATGCAGTATCAGAGAATGAAGAAGTTGGAAACTATTCTGGGGTAGAAATATTAAAGGCAGTCAGGCAGGGCTAGGCCTTCAGTGGGGTCAATGCAGAAGATGACAACACATTACAACTGTGGGTGGAAGCACATCTCTTTAGGGTTGGGCCTTCAGATGGAGCCAGGGTGACTGGGCCTGCAAACTTTTCCAAGAGATGAACAATAGATTGGGGATTTTGTCACCCCAGTGGGTGGCTGGAACGCTCTGGTTTGCGTTTTCCTGAAAAGATTCTTTGTTCTTTCCAGGTAAACTTTCTATGTGAACAGCTTCCTCATTGGTTCTTGTGGTGGGAAAGGATGAACTGAACAAAGGCAGTTACTCAAAGGTAACAGGTTTACAGCTTTGAACATCTCGTCAGTCTTGACCAGCTGAGGAGTCAGGTAACTAAGGGCTGTGAAGCAGCTCATAGGGGAAAGAAAGAGGGGGCACAAGGGATGGGATCCATCTCCTACATCCCCCTACTTAAGGGATGTGGCAGTCACCATCTCTGCAGCCACAGCCATCTTTTTTTTTTTTTTTTTTTTTTTTTTAACAGAAGGCTGTTGAAGCTCCTGCAGCCCCAAGCTGAGTGCAGTGCAAGTGCTGCAGTGTGTGCCAGTGGGCTGGCAGTTTAAGAGCTTGGCAAGGCCCCATGGAGTTCCCACCACAGCATGCAGGAGACAGAGCTGGCTGGGCTTTTGGCCCTCTGCCCACCCATAGAGGCCCACAGCAGTGTGTCAACACCAACACTGCATAACAGGCCCTGTGAGCTGCCTGCAGCACCATGCCACACTGAGCCAGCTGCAGGTGGCCCGAATTGTGCACAAATAAAAAATTTTCCTTTCCACAATAAATAATTCCCCCAACTTAAACATGCTTTAGTTATTCCTTTCCAATCACTTGGAGCCATAATCTGTTGTCCTATATGTTCTATTAAACCTAAGGTAAAAAGGGGCCATAGGGCTATAGGTAATAGTAGCTTGTTTTAATTCTTTTAAGGTCTTAAAGGGTACAGCTTCATAAAGATGTATAATGTGTCCTAGATTATTGGGAACCTGCACTTCACTACAGGGTAGAAACACTGAAAACCTTTCATGGACTCCCCCTCCCATCTGGCCTCTTTTGGTGCCAGTTGCAAGGGAGAGAGAGAAAATAACTCTACTCTCTGAGAGGTGGAAGTTCCAACCTGTGATGTAGAAAAATTTCTATGAGTTGAAAAGGCAGGAATTTCTGCTTGTGGCTCAGTTAAGGTTATTGGGGAGGCTGTTATTCCACCATCTTTTTCCTGCTTGGGACTTGATTTTAAAATAGTGCTCTGATCCAAATCCTTCATCGTCATCTCAACAAACTTACCACCATTGAAGTACTCCCTAATGAAAATCCACAAAAGTAGAGTAAATACAGGAAGAAGAAATACAACAAACATTTCTACATACTTGTAGAAGTTTGTAGTTCTTGAAAACCTGTTTGCCCCATGTTTTACACTTGATGCTATCAATATCAATACACCTGTGTGATTAATATCGATGCTATCAATGCACTTCTCCCCCTTCTGTGCACACAATGAGAAATGTCCCCTCACCCAGTATTTCTTCTTACCCCAGTCCTGTGTTCAAGCATCATATGCCTCAGCCCACATGGCTCTTGAAGTTCCCAGGGGGAAGGATGGCAAGAGGATGGAGAAATAAATATAAGAGGCTGTTATGGTTGATACATTGTGTCAGCTTGGGGAGTCTAGAGGTTTGGCTAAGTAACTCAGCAGGAAGGCAGGATACTTACTTTGTATATATCCTGAGCCTGTTGCAGAGGAGGGCATGGAGATTATGTGAGAGCTACACGCCCCTTGGGTGGGGGTAGTCTGTTTACAAAGTAAGGCAGGGAAAAAGAAGCTGCTTGCCGCCATTCCTCCGGTTTGCTCTGGCTGTTTGCTGTTCAGCTGCCATTCCCCCCTTTGCTCTTGTTGCTTTGCTACCTTTTGCCTCGGAGCCAGCCAAGTATGGACTGAAACCTCCACAAACTGTAAGCTAAATAAACCTTTCCTTCCTTCATTTTCGGCGTTGGGTATTTTGTCTCAGCAACGAGAGAAAAGTAACCAAGACAGAGGCAGAAAGCTGAGGTCAGGTGGCACCCACTTTCTCTGGATAGGAGAAAAGGAAATGCTCAACCACTGTAGTGTGTTTATTTATACATTTGGCAAGTTCATGTCATGTGACATCCTTTTTGCCTAGCAACCCATTGCTTGGATTGTCTCAGGGCTTGGTGTTCTCTGGACTGAAGCAGCTTATTCATGTGGCTTGCCTTGGGAGTTCTTTCTTCTCAGATTGGGCTTGCCTCACCCCCAAATGTGTGATCAGTTTCTACTTTCAGCAGCTCCCTACATCATGCTTGAGTCACAAACAGATAAATAAATCCTCATCTGCTAAGGAAGGTATAAGATGATCTCTTAGTTACTTCTGTCATTGCTGAGACAAAAATGCTTGACACCTAAAGTTAAAGGAGGAAAAGTTTGTTTAGCTCATAGTTTGTAGAAGTTTCAGTCCACAATTGGCTGGTTTTAGGGCAGTGTGGCACATGGCAGAGGGGCTCTGTTTTGCTTCTTATTTGTACTTTGGGTTTCTGACAAAAGGGAAACCATGTGATACGTACCACTTGTGTGTCATATGTTTCACTTATGATTACAGTTTTGAGGTGCATCCATTTACGTAAAAATGGTTTAAGTTTATCCTCTCTAATGGCAGAGCGGTACTCCACTGTATATAAATATCACTTTTTCCTTATCCATTCATCTGTTGATGAGCATATGGACTGTTTCCAAGATTTAGTTATTATAAATTGTGCTGCTCTAAACATGGGTATGCATGTATCATTGTGGAATGATGATGCTAAATCATTCAGGAAGATATTGAAAAGGAGGAGCTGGATCAAATGGAACTGCAAGGGAAAAACTGTACAAGAAAAATTGTTTCTTCTAAAACTTTGTTCTTTATGAAACTGGTTAGCTCTGTAACTGCTTCACGGCTCTGTAATTACTTTCTTGACCCCTATAACCACAAGAGCATAACCAATCTTGCAGGACATCTGATTGTAACAAGCTCCATGATCATTAACTGATTAACTTGTAACTGATGATCATAAATCTAGCCTTGTAAATGAAGATCTGACCCTGCCAGCTAATCAGAGAACTGCAACGCTATTCTGTCTCACCTTTGTAAGTCCTACTTATGCTAGCCCACAAGCACTTAGGGCCTGGCTTTGTTAAGGGAGAGATCCCAGCCAGGACCACTGGTATAAAATAAGACTGTTCACTGCCTTCAGACTTCCTTGGGTGTTGTTCTTTTCCTGGACTCAGTTTTGCCACAACAGAACCACCTCTAGTTTTAGTTTTTAGAGGAATCT